AGGGAGGGAGGAAGAGAGAGAGAGAAACATCAATATAAGGGCGAAACACTGATCTGCTGCCTCCTGCACGCCCCTCACTGGGGATCGAGCCCGAAACCCAGGCATGTGCCCTGACGGGGATTCCAACTGGGACCTCTCAGTCCATGGGATGACGCTCAGTCCACTGAGCCCCACCAGCCTGGCTGCGATGGTTAATTTTATGTGTCAACTTGACTGGGCCTTGTGCTGCGCACTGTATTGGTCAAACATGATTCTGAGTGTGTTTGTGAGGGTGTTTGTAGATGAGGTTACCATTTGGATGAGTAGACGGAGTAAAACAGATTGCCCTCCTTCATATGAGTGGCCCTCATCCAATCAGGAGAAGGTCTGAAGGGCGTGGGGAACCTTTTTCCTGCTAAGGGCCATTTGGATATTTATAACATCATTTGAGGGCCATACAAAATTATTAACTTAAAAATTAGCCTGCTATTTTGGGTCAGGCTCATTTGGTGAGGTGTGTGATGTTAGCTGGGATTGATTTCACAGGCCTTATAGGCCTGCGGGCTGGAAGTTCCCCACCCCTGGCAGAGCACAAAGGCGGATACTCCTATGAATAAGGGAGAATTTTTTCTGCTGACTCATGTTTTTCCCCCCATCACCATTGATCCCCCCATACCCTCCTCCACCTTCCCCCCACACCCCCTCAATCAACACACTGTTGTCTGTGTCCCTGACTCATGGGTTTTTATTTCCTGCATTTGAACTTGAAATGTCAATCCTTCCCGAGTGTTGAACTTCCAGCTTTTGGACTAGAACGACATACACTGCCTGCTTTCCAGGGTCTCCAGTCTGCTGACTCATCCTACAGATCTTGGGACTTGTCAGTCTCCATACACATGAGCCAATTCCTTATAATAAATGTCATGTATCCTATTGGTTCTGTTTCTCTGGAGAACTCTGTCTAATTAATATACACTGTATATTCCAGGGTGATTTTATCTGCTCTTTTGACTTCAGCTTCCATCAATATGCTGGCAATTCTCCATATCCACATCTTTAACTGCCAACAGACACATCCACATGGGTACCATGTAAATACTTCGAACTCTGCATATTCAGAGTAAAACCCCTTATTATCCCCTAGGAATTTGTTCCTGCTTCTTATTCTGTCTTTTTTATAGTGTCCACCATGTACTCTGATCCCAAACGCAATACCTTCAGTATTGCTCATTTCGAGTTATAAATCTCATCCTAAGATTTCTGCCACTCAGGACTGTTGTTGTCCAATGGAGAGCAACCCTGGCACACGGGACTGAGTTGGAAAAATCTTTGGGCCAAGATCTAGTTTATTCTCAAACACACACACACACACACACACACACACACACACACACACACACACACACGGTGGGTAGGAAAGAGAAAGCCAGGTACATACAGAGAACATCTGAGCCATATAGATACACTGACAGAGTATGAGAGAAAGAATGAAAAAAGGAGACAAAGAGAGAGGAGACACAAGCCACGGTATTATATACAGAGCCAGAGGAGACAGAGTCAGAGGGAGATTCACATAGAAGCAGAAAGAGGAGGGCATTTGTCATGGAGGAGACAGAGGGTCATTTTGGGAAGGGGTGTGGGGGACCAAATCAGAGCATACAGTAGGGCTTTTTCAAGTTCTAAAGATGAGGGCATCCCCAAACTGGGGCACAGTGTGTATCCCCTCACCTGTCATGCTGTTGACTTCTTTCTCTGTCTGAGAAACACAAGGCGTGGCCCTCAGGAGTTTCATGTTCTTTTTTTCTTTTTCTTTTTAATTTAGGGAGAGGAAGGGAGAGGGAGAAAGATAGAGACATCGATGAGAGAGAACACTGATTGGCTGCCTCCTGCATGCCCCCACTGGGGATCAGGCCCACAACCTGGGCATGTGCCCTGACCGGGAATTGAACCAGCGACCTCTTGGTGCATGGGTTGACACTCAACCACTGAGCCACACCAACCAGGCAGTCTCATGTTCTTAAATGGAGAAACATAACCAAGCTGACATACTCTAAAGAACTGTGTTTGCTCAATCCTTTTTAGACTCATGCCCCAGCCCCACAAACAAGTCTCGTCTTCAGTGTATCACAGCAGTGATACACTGTTTTCGGTAGTTCTCTTATACACTGCAGAACCAGCTGCTCTGAACGCGCTCTTTCAAGCTACCTGTGCATATGCACACCCGTGCTGATGTGCCTTCCCTTCTTCAGTGGAGAATTTCTGCCTTAAGGATCATCTTACTCTAGGAACCTTAAATATGAACAGTTTACTAGTGAAGCCCGGCTTGATGAGGCTGAAAACATTTCTCTTGGCAGTGAATTTCCTACAGTTCAAAAGCCCATCAGTGCCTCAGACCCCGGCTTGATCTGTGGCTCCTTTCCCTCTTCTCCGAGCTACCCTTGCCCTGCCAGCCCCAGCTCACTTCCTCCAGGAGGTGCTCACACCAGCATCCCTGCTCCCACCTTCCTTGTTTGGCCCCTTATATGATACCCAACCTAGTCCCTAATTACAAACTTCTGCTTCAGAGTTTGGAGTTTTGCCTTGAGCTACAGTAACTGGCTTTCCTGCTCTGTCTCTCAGTCTTTCTGGGTCTACATTGTTGCTTGTCATCTACTTCCCAGAGACCTGGTGGCCTATACCTTTTCCCACTGGAATTGGGTCCCCATGCCTTCTACTGACCCAGTGTAGAGCCCAATACCTGGCCAACACAATAAGTATAATAAATATTTGTTGAATGAACGAATGAATTGGAAGCATTCTCTTACTTGAGTTTAACTTTATGTCCTGGGTTTAGTTGAGACATGTTAACACAATAGTCAAATTTCACCCTCTTGTCCCAGATTTCTTGTTTCAGTTTTCTGTTTTCTCTACACTAAGTACTGTACTAGACATTTTGCACCTGTTATTTATAATCTTCACAACAATCTTGCAAGATAGGTGTTATCATTTTCATTTCATATATGAGGAAACTGTGGTCCAAGAGGTTATTAATTTCTCCAAAGTCAGTTAGCAAATCAGTGGTTGCCCTCACTTGTCCACAGAACCACTCTTAGAATCACTAATTTTTGGCCTCATTCTTAAAGTTTCCACACTTTCTTCTTTTGACCTTCCCATGACTCCGATCTTATTCTGATTGCTCACCATCGTCTTTGCCTGAATCCTGTTGAGAAAGGAGTGAAGAAGGGAGGACAAACCTGAGAGGTCTTGCCAAGGTCTTGACATGAGGGATTGATGCTGTGGACTCCAGGAGATAGAAGAGGCAAAAGTATCCCCTCAACCTGAGAGAGCAGAGAGTGGTGCTATCACCAAAAAAAAAACAAAAAAACACCCAAAACAAAACAAAAGGGAAATTGGGACGTCTTGTTCCTGTAGGTCATTACATCAGATAGTGGTAGGAGTTCCAATGACTCTTTACTCCCAGTTAATCATGGGCAAGTCTCTTAGTTTCTTTTAATCTCATTTTCTTTATCTTTTTCCTGAGCATCATCTTACTTGACTGTCATGCTTGTCATTGGTTTGCTGGTCAAATGATGCTCCAGTTGAACATGCTTTGGGAGGAGGTAAGGCCGTACACGTGTTCACTGTTACCACTGTTGTCAGGTGTATGATTGCTGAAGTCAAATTGTAAATGGAGACACCAACTTTTGGGTACTGTGCCAGGGGTCAGCAAACTGTTCTCATTTGGCCTATTAGCTAAGAATGCTGTTTACGCTTTAATATGGTTGGGGAAAAAAGTATTTGTGATGTACAAAAATAACATGAAATTCAAATGTCGATGTCTATAAATAAAGCTTGTTGGAACATGGCCGAAACACATTTATTTATATACTGTTGTGCTGTCTGTGGCTGCTTCCTTTTTTACCCGGGGCAGCAGAGTTGTGACAGAGATTGTACAGCCTACAAAGCCTAAAATATTTACTACTTCGCTCTTTCCAAGAAAAGTGTGTCAAGCCCTGGCCTACGCCTTTTGGGAGCCATTTCTGGGTCTGCCAGTCTGTGTCCTGCCTTCCTGTCTATTGAAATTCCTGGAGAGGACAGGAAATTTTGGGAAATATTAGAAGTTAAAAAAACCCAACACATTTCTTTTATTTGATAATAAAGGTGAAATGAGGACATGTTTGTCTTTTTTCTCCTTTTTGATGGTTTTTAAAAATGAATTTTCATTCAGTTTTATAACTTTAAAAAAGTCAGGTGAGGATGAAAAATACCACCACTAACTTCAAACCACCCTCTCCACAGTCATTCTAATACATGCCTTTATTTCGACTGAAGCTTCCTTCTATTCTTGGCACACATATTTCCAAATGGTTGAAATACTGGTCTAGGAAGCATTTCAAAGGTGATGCAGTCCGTTCCAGTTGCCTTTTACAAATACTACTTATTGCTTTTGTTTTTTCATAGTGGTTATGTTGTGATGGAAAGGCACACTCTGCAAGCTACATATATTTCAGAAGTACTTCCTACCCTCTTGCCTTTGGTCAAATTTTTCTTCAAATGTGAAAGCAAATGCTACTCTTCGGAGCGAGCGTTGGGCGGCGCTGGCCTGCTCTGACACGGACTCAAGTGCAGAATTCTCACTGAGCTTAAAAACAGAACGATGAGGAGTACAGCTCAGGAGAACTGTCAGATAAGAAATGAACTTGATACTTTAAAGATGATTTCCTTTCTCCTTCCCCAGACCTCCCCGCAAGGCATTTAATAATAGTACAAAAATACATTTAGCAAACCAAAATATTCTCTGTTCATCTAACAATGATATGAGGGATATGTTTATGCTCTCTGTTGCATTTTAGAAAAATAAATGAGGATTAAAAATAAGGCTATTCTGTCATGTGAATACTGTTGACCCTTTTACTGTATTTCATACAATAAAACATTGTATCACATTAACTTAATACCATGAAATACAAGTTATCAAGTTAATACGATGCAATATAAGTAAAATGATGGCTGTTTACATTTTATTCTCTTATTTTCCCTAGTGAGAAGCTGGATGGAAAAACTAAAAGACAAGGTAAGAGAAGTGTTTTCTTCATCAGATTTACCTTAGAGGGTATTGGCAGATACAAAATCTTCAGAGTAGTGGAGCTTTAATTCATTGTTCTGATTCCAGTAATCTATGCAAAGATTCAGGGCCCAGCAAGAAAGGTCTTCCCTGTAATTTCTTCTTGTATAACTCTTTAGAGTACCATTCATTCTTAGGGCAACATCTCTGGTCGTTGACCATACCAAACATTGCCTTAAGGATGAATGGTACTCTAAAGAGTAAGTGTGATACAAGAAACAATATCCTTGACATAGCAGAGTGTAGATCTTTCTAGGGAATTTCAGGATTGTAATCCCATTCTATTGGGCATTTCTTGTCCCAATGCAAGGCTCTTTTAAGCCTCATCTTCCCGTATGAGTACCTTGGATTTAGAAGGCATTGATTCTTCTGACTCATGAGTGGACTTGATTTGGGAGTTAAAGTTTGGGACGAAACAGGCATCCTTAAGCTATAGTGGGTGTGGGACAAAAATACCTGAATACTTGAGCACTGTCTTTATTTTTACTTAAAAATATTTTTTATTTATTGGTTTTAGAGAGAGAGAGATAGAAACATCGATGAGAAAGAACATCGATTGACCGCCTCCTGCATGCCATCCACTGGGGATTGGGCCCACAACCTGGGCATGTGCCCTGACTGGGAATCAAACCGGTGACCTCTTGGTGCATGGGCTGACACTCAACCACGGAGACACATCAGCTGGGCTAGACCCAATTTTATGTGGTTCATCACAGTGCCACTACCTACTAAATGATAATGAGCAGACCTGTCTGGAATGGCCAACTATAGAAAAATATTTTCCTCTCTTGCTTTAATTCTGCCATCTACTTGGTGACTGACAATATTAACTTCATTCTAGGTTCACATTTTTCATTTTCTTTTGATTTTCAGCATTGTCCAAATGTTCATTTCTGGTTACTTTGTAATTTTAACTTGGACTTACTCATGAAAATCCTGACGGCATCCGAATGCCTTGCCGCAGCTGTCATGTCCCATTACTACAGCCCAGCTCAGCTTTCCCTGGCGGTTAGTTAAAGGAGAATCTTTTCAACTGCCAGATACTGAGCTACCTCGAATTCATCTGTCTTAGAATATACTTCTGTTGATGGCATCCACATCTTTTTTATTATTTGGGGTCAATTTTCTCCATATTTAAATGGTTAATATTTTATTTTACTATAGCGCAATGTTAAAGAATGAAAGAATTGCCCTGGCCAGTTTGGCTCAGTGGTTGGAGCATTGGATCGCGGACCACAGAGTCCTGGGTTCAGTTCCCGACAAGGGCATGTACCTCGGTAGCAGTTTGTCCCCAGGCCCTGGTTGGGGTCATGTGGGTAGCAACCAGTCAATGTGTCTCTTTCACATCGATGTTTCTCTCTCTCTTTCCCTCCCTCTCTCCCTTCTGCTTTATCTGAAGATAAATGAAAAAAAAAAAAAAATGAAAGAATAGATGCAATTGTGATTACCTTTATAAATTATGTTTATTCTCCTCACTATTATTTTTATGCTTCTCAGTAAAATTTAGCAAATACAGTTTTTGAGAATGAAACTATTTGTGTTTATAAATATTGGAAGGGATATTGAAAAAAATTAAGCCTCTTGAGGATCATAGAGGCCATTTTGGCATCTGTAATACAGGGTCCAGTTGTCTGAGGGAGGTCTGATCAGATGAGCTAAACAAAAGTTTGAGGGAAGCCCAGCTGGTGTGGTTCAGTGGTTGAGTGTCAACCCATGCACCAAGAGGTCACCATTTTGATTCCCGATCAGGGCACATGCCCAGGGGTGGGCCCAGTCCATAGTGGGGGGCATGTAGGAGGTAGCCAATCGAAGTTCTCTCTCATTGATGTTTCTTTCTTTTTAAAATATATATATTTTTTATTGATGTGAGAGAGAGAGAGAGGAAGGGGGAGAGAGAGAGAGAGAGAGAGAGAGAGAGAAACATCAATGAGAGAGAACATTGATTGCCCACAACCTGGGCATGTGCCCTGACCGGGAATTGAACTGGTGACCTCTTGGTGCATGAGTCGATGCTCAACCAGTGAACCACACCAGTCAGGTGTGTTTCTATCTCTTCCTCTCCCTTCCTCTCTAAAAAAAGTCAATAAAAATAAATAAATTAAAACAAAAAGATTTGGGGGGAGGGGAGAAAAGCTCAAAAGTTTAGAGCTGGATCTGTTTACCTTGGTAGTACTTCTTGTTATTTTTCAGGGAAAAATAGTTGAGACTCCTACCATGGCTGACTTACTTAATGCCTTATGTTTCATATTTTCAGTCTTTCTTGGAGGGACTCACTCTAATCTTTCCCAAATCTCTCTTCCCTCAAGAGTGAAATATATGCTTACTTGACATATACATTCACATATACATATACATATATGTGTGTGTGTATATATATATATGTATGTATGTATATATATATATATACATATATCTTCCTCCCTCCTTCCTGTCTTCTTCTCTCTCTTCATCTAGCTAGTTATCATCTATAAAAGTCTTGTTAGTCATTATCTTCAGAAACTATTTGAGAACAAAACTATTGTTTCTCTTTTTTTATTCCTCAACCAAGGATATTTGTCTACTTATTATCAGATAGAATGAGAGGGAGGGAGGGAGGGAGGGAGGGAGGGAGGGGGAGAGAGAGAGAGAGAGAGAGAGAGAGAGAGAGAGAGAGACATCGATGTGATAGAGCCACATCAACTGGTTGCCTCTGGCACCACCTGACCAGGGCCAGGGACAAACTGCAACTGAGGTACGTGGAACTGAACCTGTGACTCATTAGTCCACAGGCCTACGCTCTCACTGCTGAGCCAAACTGGTCAGGGCAAAACTATTGTCTCTTTGATGAAAGTCACAGAATACCCTAGAGGTGAAAACTAAACTACTTGTGTAATTGGCTCTTCAGCCAACCCAGGACTGAACTTTTCAGTTTAGCTTCATTTCATTGTTCCTAATATTCATTTCATTGTTCCTAATATTGGTTTCCCTGTTAGTTAGTTGGGCTCCAGAAAGGGTGATGTTTTCAAAAGTTCTGAGTTACTTCTTTTGTTGTTATTGTTTATTTATTAGTTGGGATTAAGATCAGTGACAGACCACCCCAATGACATTGGCTTAACCTAGATAGAAATTTGTATCTTATTTATGGGTCTGGAGGTAGCAGTCAAGAATTAATGGGGAGAAACACTGTGAAAGCTTAGGCTCCTTCGTCTGATGCTCCACCATTTGTGACCTTCATTTTCAAGGTCACCTCAAAGTCCTGGATGGCAGTATCAATTTAGCTAGGTCTGTGTTCTAACCAGAAGGAAGGAGGAAAAAGGGAAGTCAGGATATCCTTTCCTTTTTAAAAGGGAGGACAAAGGCACTGCCTTTGTGTCCTTCATATGCCTTATGTCTTCATATTTTCAGTCTTTCTTGGAGGGACTCGCTCTAATCTTTCCAAAATCTCTCCTCCCCCACTAGTGAAATATATGCTTACTTGACATATACATTCTTAAAGGTGGGGTGGGGGAGAAGGGGGTAAAGGCTCCCCTGCCCTCTTAAAGAGCATGTCCTGGAAGTTACATGTGCTGCTAACGTGCCATCTCCTTAGTGAGACATCGCATGGTCACACCCAACTGCACAGAGGCAGGGAGATGTCATCGCAATTCTGCACCCAGCTCAGATGGGAAGTTCTATTGCTCTAAAGAAGGGGCAAATGGAGATTGAGGGGCAGCTCCTATCCTCTTTCCATCATGAACCTTTTTCCTGGTTAATGTCCAAGTTAGTGGTGTTTGTTAGGCAAATCCTTACTTGGCTCCCTATTGATATGTTTTTCAACATCTAAATTGCTTCTCAACACTGAAGATGTATAACAATTTTAGTTATGTAATAAAGACTAGCTCTGTTGTTAGGTCCCCGAGATCATTTGTTCTATTTCTTCTAGCTTTAGGAACTTATCCAGGAAATAGAAGCCCCCGACTATACTTCATAACAGTGATTCTCATGTGTGGTCTGGACCAGCAGCATCAGCATCACCTGGGAGCTTGTTAGAAATGCAAAATCTCGGGCCCCACCGAGTCAGAAACTCTGGGAAAGGACCCAACAAGCTGTGTTTTAACAAGTCTTGAAGGTGATTCTGATGCTGGCTCAAGCTTGACAACCACTGTTGCAGAGAAATCGTAAGAGCACTGTCAGTACAGTATATCATTAGTTTCCTTACCGCTTTCTTGAAAATGTTTCTGAACTAAATACATTATCCCAAGGAAGGATACCTTTTTCATAAATGTAAAGCAAAACAAACAGAAAACAAACACAAATCAACTGTATCTAGCATTACCTTGGCTTACCATCTATTTAAAAATTTAAAACATTATTTGGAAACAATTTCAAATTTACAGAAAAGATACAAGAACAAGAATATTACAAAGAATACCCCTATACTTTTTACCCAGCTGCGCTTGTCGTTAACATTTTACCTCATTTGCTTTATTATTTGCTGGTACTGTCTCCCCATTTGAACCATTTGAGGAAAACATGCATACATCATGGTGCTTGATCCCAACGACTTCAGTGTGTATTTCCTATGAATAGGAACATTCTGTTAGCCAGTGTAGTTATCAGCTTGAGTACACTTAACATCAAGAAGTACCTTTATCTAATCTGGCATCCATATTTCGCTTTTTTCAATAAATCCAAAATGTTCTCTATAAAAACAGTTTCTTCCTCCAGTACAGAATCTAGTCTAGGGTCGTGTAATACATTTAGTTGTTGTGCTTTTTTGTTTGTTTGTTTGTTAATCCTCATTTGAGGATATTTTTTCCATTGATTTATAGAGAGTGAAAAGGCAGGAGGGAGTGTGAGAGAGAGAGAAATACTGATGTGAGAGAGACACATCAATTGATTGCCTCCCGCATGACCCCGAACCTGCAACCCAGGTATGTGCCCTTGACCGGGAACTGAACTGTGACCCTGTGGTGCGTGGGCCAACACTCGCCAGCCAAGGCAGTTGTCATGGTTCTTCAGTTTCTTTTAATCCGAAGCATTTTTTAATAGCCATCTTTTGTCTTTTATGACACTGACATGTTTTAAGAACTTAGTCCTTTTTGCCCTGGCCAGGCAGCTCAGTTGGTTGAAGTGTCATCCCCATATGCCAGGGTTGTGGGTTTGATCCCTGGTCAGGATACATACAATGAGCAACCAATGAATGTGTGGATGAGTAGAATAGCAAATCGATATTGCTCTCTCTAATCAATAAAAATAAAAAATAAAAATAAAAATAAAAAAGAAGAATATACGGTAGTTCTTTTTATTTTTATTTTTTTTAATCCTCACCCGAGGATATTTTTCCATTTTTTTGTACAGATAGAGTGGGAGGGAGAGAGAGGAAGGGAGAGAGAGAGAGAAACATCGACGTGAAGGGACACATCAAGTGGCTGCCACCCACACGACCAACCAGGGCCGGGGACAAACTGCAACCGAAGTACGTGCCCTTAGCGGGAACCGAACCCGGGTCTCTCCGGACCGCAGGCAGACACTCTAACCGCTGAGCCAAACTGGCCAGGGCCTGTAGTTCTTTTTTATTTATTTTATTTTATTTTTTTATTTTTTATTTTTTATCCTCACCCGAGGATATTTTTCCATTTTTTGTACAGATAGAGTGGGAGGGAGAGAGAGGAAGGGAGAGAGAGTGAGAAACATCGACGTGAAGGGACACATCGAGTGGCTGCCACCCGCACGACCAACCAGGGCCGGGGACAAACTGCAACTGAAGTACATGCCCTTAGCGGGAACCGAACCCGGGTCTCTCTGGACCGCAGGCTGACGCTCTAACCGCTGAGCCAAACCGGCTAGGGCTGTAGTTCTTTTTAAAACAAATAGAATATCCTTCATTTTAGGTTTTTTGGCTGTTTCCTCGTGACTAGATTCAAGTTACACGTTCTCGGCTGGAATGTACACTGTAGTCATTTTCTCAGGGTGTTACATACACAAACAATGCTTTTGAACAGACAAAAGGTACTAGGCAGAATTTATAACTTACAAAATATGTACATGCTTCTTATTTGTCTTCATTTCTGCAGGAAGCAAGTCATGGACAATTCTAAAAGGAGAGCTTAATTTCAATTAGTAGGTTTGAAAGAGGAAAGGTTAAATTATATTTGAAGAGGATAGGTTGCTGTGTTCCCATCTCTTAATTTATTCAAAGCACAGGTAGATGCCACATAGACAGTCAGACAAACAGACACACACACATACATACATACATACACAAGAGGGGACAAAGAAGGAGAGAGAGGGAGAAAGATATTAACTGAATTTTTGTGAAGTCTACATGATTTAAAGCTCTAGAAACAAGAAGTTTAAATATGTAAATAAGAAATATGGCAAGAGTGACGTACTTTGTGACGTTCCTGTTACTGGTGTGGGGTTAAGTTACGTAGCGTAAGGAGACCCACACAGAGACGTTGATCAAGCTGAACTTCCAAAAGCTCAGGTATCACCATTTGAATGTACAGCTCGGTCAAGTCGTCTCTTCTGCTTAAAGTTGATAATTTTTCAATATGTAGCTATGTTTCTATTCTCTGGGAGTGGTAATTAAAAAAAAGAAATTCACAGTTGTGGTAAGAGTCCCCAGATCTTGCTGTTGTTCGATATTCTCCCGCATGGAAAATTACGAAGTTTTATACGTCTTAAGTAGATCTGGACGAACTTCAGAAAAAGTTTGGGTCAATGCAAAGCCCAGTGATTTGTTGAAAAAAATGACTGGGCTTTGTTTCTGTAGGAGAAAACACTTAATATGCTGGTGAACAATGCTATTGTTCTCAAATTAATGGAAATGCTTTTATATTCTGCCCTAACTGAAGACTGGGACGCAGAGCCAGTGAGCCGGCCAGCTGTGCAGAGGAGGGTGCACTTTTGTCGTCTTGTCTGCGCCTCTCGTTTACTTCTAAAGATGTTGGGAAAGCATCGCAGACTGCATATTTCAGCACTTTTTAGAAAACTTTTATTCTCTGTCCCTCTGTTTTTGGCTCATTCGGAAAGATACTGGAAATTGGAAATTTGAGAAATAGTCAAATAAATAAATAGATTTGAGAAATTAGAAATTTGAGAAATAGTCAAATAAATAAATAGATTGATAGTTCCCCCTTAAAATAATGCCTATCTGAAGTACTTATTGCAGCTTAAGCCCTGGCGGGGTAACTCCTTTGGTTAGGGCATCATTGCAATATGGCAAGGTTGTGGGTTTGATCCCTGATTAGGGCACAAACAAGAATCAAGCAATGAATGCATGAAGTGGAACAACAAATCGATGTCTTTTTTTCTCTCTCTCTACCCTCCTTTTCTCTCTCTTTCTCAAATAAATAATAATAAAAAAAATAAAGTACTTATTATAGCTTAAAAGTTTTAAATTGTTTATGTGTTTTGTCTGGGTAGGCTTTTAGAAAGGGCCTTCTTGGAAGGCCTCCCAGTGTCAGGTTCCCCAATGAAAGGGCTCTGGTTAGGACATACTCCTCGAACCCTTAGGTTTCTCATTGGCTAAGATGCGGGGAGCACCCTTAGTGTCATGGCCTTACCCTGAGCTTGGGTAGGTCCGGAGCTGCTTACTCAAGCCCAGGCATGTGGGGAGATCACGTTGCTTTGTTAGGACCCAGGTATCCATAGTGACACCTTGGGGACATTGGAGACAGGCATGGCTTTAAGACTTCCGGGCACTATTGGAGGTATCCATGTTATTGGCAGTGATCTTTATGCCCTTCTCTGCCACTTCCTTTCTTTGGGGCTGAGGACATTCAGAATTCCCAAACTTCAGTCTTGTCCACTGGGCAGATTTTCCCTTTCATAGACATGAATCCATCCACTCTGTGCACACTCTGTCCTCGTCCTTGTCTTTTCTGCCTGTGCTCCAACCTCTAACATCCTCCCTCTTTCCTTTGCAGGTCTTTCTCTTCCCTGTTGTTTCCAGAAGCCCTCACCTTTCACTCACTCACAAGCACATTCCTCTTCCTTTCTTCCTGCAATGCCGCCAAGACTGAGAGAGCAGACCCCCAAGGTCAAGGCTCTCGCTCGCCCTCTGGGAAACATGGTATTCCAGAGGACACTTCCCCAGCCCCCGACTTGCCCCGGAGCTCGACTCAGGCTGATGTTTCCAATTTATAGCATTTTAATAGTCCTGGCATTCTGCGAAGCTTACTTCATCCATCTTTAATACAAATTATATTCCCGTCACCCAAACCTGATGTTGACAAATGTGCATAATCAAGTGGCTGGAGGTGCCATTTGGTCTGGCTGATTTATGGTAATACTTCTGAGTGTTGGAAATATCCCAAAAGAGTCATCATGCCTCTCTCTCTTTGCCTTCTCCCCTCCAAAGTGACTTTATTCTAGATGCTATTTTCTTTTATACTGAAGCCAATGGGAGAATTCACTGTGTCTAAAATCCTGCTGCCCTCCAGCAGAGATGAGGACCCCAGGGCAGCGGTCAGTCGAGAGTCCTGATGCAGGTCCCTTCTCTCTGCAGGCTGGCTACATGTCTGGGATGCTGGCGCCCGTAGGGGTGGGGATCGCGGGGGCCCTGTTCATCCTGGGAGCGTTCTACAGCATTAAGGTGATGAATCGCAGAAGGAGAAACGGCTTCAAAAGGCACAAAAGAAAGGTATGGAACCAACAACAGCAAAAACCTCATCAGTTTCAGAACGTTCTTTGCTTTTCTAATTTGTCTATTAAAGCACATGGGGCTTAATGATGCATGAACGGTCTGGCTGTGCCCAGAGGTTTGGGATTAGCAGCGTGAGCCACTGCCTTGGCTCGCTCACTCCTTAGTGTGTCTTTTCAAGGGGGCCTGTTCCTCAGCTTTGCTCTGCTACAGGAGGAGTTTTAATACTTTTCTGTTTTTTTTCTCCAGCAGAGAGAATTCAACAGCATGCAAGATCGAGTAATGCTCCTAGCTGACAGCTCCGAAGATGAGTTTTGAATTGGACTGGAATTTAATTGGGATAGTCAACCACGTTATTATTTTATTTTTTATTTGGGGGCAAAACAAAGAACAACATTCGCCACATGGCTGCAGTCAGGCACCAGTCTCATTAACTTCGGGGTAGTAGGTTTTTCTTGCACTGAGCGGGAAAGGCATGCTGTATACTAAATGTGATATGCAGTGTTGGTTTTAATTCTGTAGTGAATTTTCCACAACCACGAGCTACAACTCATACATATGCAGCACACATGTTGTTCTCTAGGAGTTGCTAGGTTAGGTAGAGTAAATATTTTGTGTTTTTCCACAGTGTCTTTTCGTTGGTTTGGATTACCTGCACTAAGTATAACAGTTATTGCTACCAAGGCATGCTTAACTCTGAACAAAGAATAGCTTGTGATGACTGCATTCTACCTACTTGAAACCACAGGCCTGTGGGCCAAGATACATATCCCATTTGCATCCAAACTAGCAGCAACTTGGAATGAAATCTTTTGTCAAGAAAATCTTTCAGCACATGAAGATTATATGTAGATTTGTATGTATCTTGCATTATGTATTTCAGTCTCCCAGTTTTATCCTTTTTCTCTTTCTGATTTATTCTTATTCTTGGCAAGGAAAAAAAAAATGCTCCAGAAATATACATTAAATTGACTCTCAGTCTAAATGTATGCTTGCTTTCTTAAGTAGTGTTAACTGAGTCCAATAGACCTATCAGTAGATTCTTACGTGTTTATCATTAAGTGATGTGAGATGTCCATTTTGGGTACCATCTGACCTTGTCAAGAAGAAATGAGGAAGAAATCAAGAAGAACATGAGGGTAGGTAAGTTCCCAGAGCATTTCTCTCTACCATTTGGTACTGTGCCTACACGACAACTGTTTTGAATTATTCGAAGTGTTGCTTTTCTGTACCTGTGGTCTTGGTCATGGACTGATTGGGCTGCCATTGGTCCTTATTTGGCTTTATTAGGAAAACAGACATTTTCTGGTAGAAGTAGGTTCAGTGGCCAGAGTCCTGGTATATACAGCGAAGAGTATGAAAAAACCAGCCTCCCTCAAGGTACCCCACTTCAGGGATGATGGACCATGTTAGATAATTTCTTACTCCCCTTGGAATGTAATTTCTTGCCCTATCTTTTGAATCTGGGTATTTGAGACTTCCAGTAAGCTGAGTGTTTGGGTAAAGAGCAGGCTCACTTCTGTGGGGGAATAGAGGTTACTAATAACACTGTTCGTAGTGCTATTCACTATAGAGGACTTGTTCCCATTTATTGGAGTCTGTTCTATATTTAAGGCAGGATGCACAGTTTTGTCTTATAGCTACTGTGTGAGGTAGGACATATGTTTTTATTCTTCTATTCATCTGAAGACAGAACGGAAGCAGAGAAATGAACTGAGTATGCAGAGTTATACCCAGGAAGAATCAGGACTAGAATCCACTTGGACTCAAAACCATGCACCCCTGTCTTCAGTTCAGTGCCCTTTCCACATACTTGGGAGGAAGCAGTGACATTGGTCCCTCTTTAAAATCAAGGTTCTAAGGAAATAGCTGCTTAGTCAAGGAACATTTCATACAAGTGTCTGCCCTTGTTACATGGACGATGCCTTACCCCTTCTCGCTCACTCACACAACTTCTCTCCTCTTCCACCTCAGCGATCTCCTTTACAGTCACGTACATTTAAGTATCACCTCTGGGGAACTAACAGAGAAATCTTTCCAGAATCCATTCTTGAATGATAGCTGGCTTAGAAGAATGTTTTCATCAAATAATTTAAATTCTTTTTTGCTAAAAAATGTAAGCAAATGGGTGAAGTTGGTCAAAAGAAACGAGAAGCTCTGTACAGTCAAGTAGAAGTTATGGGGTGACAAATCAGCTCAAGGTCAGGTTTAAAAATAGAATCCAGAACCATGACACTCAGAAGTAATTTGCAATTTCATGAGGAGAGACATCCTGGCACTGCACGGGGTATGTTTCCTTCTCTAGGAGCAGCCCTTTGCTGTAAGTATTCCTACATTTGGGAGGAGGCAAGCATGATGTGACATTACTGTCTTTTATTCTTGACAAGTGGTTGGTAGGGGACACACACTAGGCTACTGCATTTAGCAGCACAGGGGTGATATTTCTGCCCCAGGCTACTCTGAAGCTTCAGTCTTAACTAGACCATGGGAGTCTCAAACTATAGTATTATACAGTCACCAATAATATATTTTTATTTTCCCAGAGGGCTATGGGGATGACATGTATGTGCATTTAGGCCTAAGCAGAATGTCTCTTCAGTCCTTTTTGGAACAGGTGACTGTTTACAGAAAAAGTTTACTCACATCACAAATTTTTCTACAAATCTTTTTTCTTTAATTTAATTAATTAATTTTTTTTTATCCTCACCCGAGGACATTTTTGCATTTATCTTCAGATAGAGTGGGAGGGAACGAGGAAGGAAGAGAGAGAAAGAAACATTGATGTGAGAGAGACACATCAACTGGTTGCCATCCACACGACCCCAGCCAGGGCCGGGAACAAACTGCAACCGAGGTACGTGCCCTTAGCTGGAAGCAAACCCGGGTCTCTCTGGTCCACAGGCCGACGCGGCCAGGGCTAATTTTAATTTTTTTAATTGATTTTTTTTTAGGGGAGATGAAGGGAGAGAGAGATAGAAATGTAGATGTAAAAGAGAAACATCAATTGGCTACCTCCTGCATGCCCCTTCCTGAGGATTGAACCCGCAACCCCAGCATGTGCCCTGACCAGGAATCGACTGGGACCTCTCAGTCCATGGGACGACATTCAATCCACTGAGCTACACCGGCCAGGCTCTACAAACCTTTTTAAATATCTGGGTTAAATGGAAGATTCTGTGGATGGTTCAGCTGGTATGTTTATTTTGGCCATTTTCTTTGCGCTGTGGAGCAACGATGTTCAGTGGGTGGAGCAGATGATTTAAGAGCATCAGTGCCCTGGCCTGTTTGGCTCAGCGGTTAGAGCGTTGGCCTGCGGTCCCGAGAGACCGGGTTCGGTTCCTGCTAAGGGCATGTACCTCGGTTGCAGTTTGTCCCCGGCCGTGGTTGGGTCGTGTGGGTGGCAGCCACTTGATGTGTCCCTTTCACGTTGATGTTTCTCTCTCTTTCTCTCTCTCCCTCCCACTCTGTCTGAACAACAACAAAAAATGGAAAAATGTCCTCCGGTGAGGATAAAAAAAATATGGTTAAAAAAAAAAAGAGCATCAGGAAAGCCTGCCTGTCGTGTTCTTAACAAAGCCTGGGAATAGAGGCTGCCGCCGGAGGAGGTCCTGGCCAACGCGGACCAGAGTGCAAGTAGCAGGTCAGGCACTGGTGCGACCACCCAAAGTAAATGATTCATGTGCTTATATTTGCACATGAAAAAGGAAGAGTCAGCTCTTTATTCTAACCACTAAGCTTGAAACATTTAACAGTGAGCGGAACAGAGCTGCCTGGGGTAATAGCTGCAGCTTCAGCTGCCGACACCTGCCCCTCTGAATTGAATTTTCTCCGTCAAGACTGTGGGGGTCCCACTACAGGCACAGGGACTGTTAAACACACCGATTCCAAAGCCCTGCCTCAGACCCTCTGAACCAGAGTCTCGGGGGAGAAGCTGGGGTGCCCATGCCCAGGCAAGTCTGGCTACACAGGTAGCAGAGCATCAACCCAAAGAACCACTTCTGTCTCTAAGAGAGAAGGGAGAGCAGACCCTGTGGGGAGGGACCCTCACTAGGCAGCTGTCCAAGAAATTACACCTGTCATAGTGGAGAAAGGAAAACTAAAGGAAATAGGATGGAAGCTTCTAGAAAAAAGTAGAATGCTGGGGTGGAGGAAAAAAGGTTCCTCCCTGAGGTCTCTTTCCCTCCAATTAGAAGTCAGTACTTTTCTTTTAAACCTCTTTCATTTTCCTCTGCCGTAAACTGCTTCTCTCAGTAGCCGCTGGCTTAGTTTATATGCGATATTTGGAGTTAATTAGTATCCCAGGGAAACAGATTCCCTTAGCAATGGCTTAGCCTTGGCTTCAGCTCATAAACTGCCTCTGAGCCCGTCTTCTAGAAACATTTTCTTAAAGTACCTGGGTCTCTTACATAGTCAAAATGGTGTGGGGGAATTTTTAAGGCACAGTTTTAGAGTTTATTTTTTACTGTTAAAAATATTACAGATGCCCCCTTTTTTTCTCCATTGACCCCCTCCTTCCCACTCTAACCTCCCTCCTGCCTTTCCCAACCGAACGTCTGTGTCCATTGGTTGTGCGTATATGTAGAGACCTTCTTCGGTCTATATCTTCCCACCCCTCCAGCATGGTCAATCAAAGCTGATGATTTCATTTTTTATTTTATTCTATTTTTTTTATCATCCTCACCCGAGGACATTTTTCCATTTTTTGTTCAGGTAGAGTGGGAGGGAGAGAGAGGAAGGGAGAGAGAGAGAGAAACATCGACGTGAAAGGGACACATCGAGTGGCTGCCACCCGCACAACCAACCAGGGCCGGGGACAAACTGCAACCGAGGTACATGCCCTTAGCGGGAACCGAACCCGGGTCTCTCTGGACCGCAGGCCGACGGTCTAACCACTGAGCCAAACAGGCCAGGGCTGATTTCATTTTTTAAAGCTAAGACTTAAAAGTCAGAATTATAAAGATATCAGAAAGTAATATAGAGCAATCTAGAGTATTCTGAATGCCCACTGCTTCCCTCTGCGCCTCCAGACAGTTCTTCACATGGACAGGAATTACCCCCCCCCCCAATCGTTTCCACGGGGAGGAGCGTCAAATTGTCCGCGAGCGGCGGCGTTTCTGCGGGTGCCTACAGCCAGTGATCCGACGGCTGCCCAAACACCACCTTTTGGAGACAACATATACAAGATGGGGCAAAGGAGGTTTATAGTGATTCGTATGGAAAATAAGACAATAATTAGTACAAGCCGCTGTACACCTACTCTTGCCCACCCCTGTGTTACTTGGCACAACGTTTAATCGCATGGCCTTTGGGCAGCACAGGCTTAGTCATAACTACAGGAAAACCCGAAAGAGGCAGGATTACCACTGAAGAAACAAATCTCTACTTTTTAGGCTATGTGAAGGTCTGGTGACAAGGTAAGAAATGTGAATAGAAGATGGGAGAAAAGTCATAATACAGTACAAGGCAGATGTGGAAACGGCACCAAGTATCAGAGAGCTCCGGAGGACGCCCAAGTTCTGGATAGACCAGTGCTTGGAAAAATGATAGAGAAAGCAGAAGAATGCAGACGAGGTAGACAGTTAGCCGGGGAGGGGACTGAGAAGCTGCGCAAGTCTGCTCGTGCCCAGCCCGTCATCAAAGAAAACCCCTACACTAGGCAGAATGGACATGGGTGGGAGGGGAATGAAGTCCAAGGAAGGTGAGGAGGTGAAAGGAGCCTGGTTACTTTAAGTGAGCTTGGGCTCAGTTAAACATCTTTTTTTTTTTTTTTTTTGGTGGTATGTGCCCCTAGCGGGAACCGAACCCGGGACTTGGTCCGCAGGCCGATGCTCAGCCGCTGAGCCAAACTGGCCAGGGCAGACGTCTTTTTTAATTATGCAGAGTTCAAATGACAGTATGCATTTTTAAGAATAGGAAATAGTCTGAACACAAAATGAT